GTTGACGTATACATACTGTATTGACGGTTTAATTAATTAATTAATTAATTTATTTATTTATTTATTTATTGCACACGCGTGCGCCAATGAACAAAAATTACTAATATAGACTGAGAAAAAGAACAGTCAACAGCAAGTGGACACAAAAAAGTTAAAAAGCAGGAGCATGGACGAGGAAATGGAGGTGACAATAAAACGCCTCCGCAGACACACTTACAACGCCAATACCCGAACTATGGAGAAATCATTCAAGAAGAAAAGACCTTGAGCCAGGAGTGCCAACTCATGCCTCAAGCATAGTGGATATACCTAAGTACCATAGTATATAAAGTATAGTATAGTATAGTATAGTATAGTATAGTATAGTATATAGTTTAATTACCTAAGTTTGTGGGATATAAAGAAGTCTTGATGCTCTTGCTCCCTGTCTGGACCTGGTAAAGGAAATACACAGACAACCGTGATAACTCGCTAGATGTGTCTGTTGGCTTGCCTGCGTATGTGTGTGTTTGAGCGGAAATTCACAACTTCTGCTCCTGTGGACGTAGAGTGTTCAATAGGGGTAGGAGTACATGCAACAGAATGGCAGAACTGATGGCGGGTGGCAGCAGTGGATTCCGCCCACAAGAGGCGCGCGCGAAATAAGGTCCGATAAAATGCATAACTCCTGTTCCCGCTCACTTAGAGCGTTAAAACTTGGTAGGAGTACAGGCGGTAGCATAAGAGCACTGATGGTGGGTGGCAGGACTAGACTCCGCTCAAGGGGCGAGCCTTGAGTAAAATAATTTGATTAGGGTGTGAGGCGTTTGAATTCGGTAGCACAGGCTGCTTTCATAGTCCGCCGGCGTGCCGGCGTGCCAGCCGAGGCAGTGTCAGGGGGGAGGAGGGAGGCCAACCGTCGGTCGACGCGCCCAAGCTCCCTTAAAGGGCTGTAAACAAAGGGAGAAAAGATCAAAAACCATCTGTACAAGCCCCTGGTTGTTTGGTTTTTGATCTTGTTCTTCTTTGTTTTCAGCCCTTCGACCGACCGTCTACCTCCCTC